GTCCGCTCTGACTCCACCCCCTCCACTCTGGCCCCGCCTCCCGGGGAAGAAGCGTTGGACGCCTGGGTCTCCTCTCGTTGCAGGGCGATGGCTGAAGGGAAGGGAACCGAAAACCAGCCGGGTTTGGAGATGAAGCGTGCTGATGAGGGAGAGGGGACCTGTCCTGGCGTGGAGGACACCCCTGAGGCCTCCTTGCCACCCTCCTCCCCATCCCACGCTGACAGCCACCAGGTGCCATGGCCGGCCAGCCTGGCATGGTGGCAATGCCGCTGTATGCCCATGTTCCAGCCCTGGCAGCTGCTCCCAAGAGCTCCCACTTGCTGGTGATTTCTGAAGTGTTGTGGGCACCAATAAATCTTTCCATCCCCATGGCTGCCTAGTGAGTCTCTGCCGGCCATCAGTCCTGCCCTGGCAGCAGTGGTGGGGTGCAGGTATCAGAGCACTGCCAGCTGAGACCCCTGGCAGCACCCGCCGTGCCACCCTGCCCACCTGCACGCCTGGTTGGGGTCACCACACCGCCACAAGCAGGTGACGTTTGTCCCTACTGGTCCCGGGTATGGGCAGCCTCCTGGGGAATATTCACATGCAAGGAAAAGCCAGGGGAATCAGAGTTGTGGTGCGGGCTTCTGAAATCCCCTTTAAGCGTTTATTTGTGAGGGATTTTCTCTGCCTCCAGTTTTCCAGCAGACAGCAGGGTGGGTCTGTGTGACCACTGTGGGTCACCAGCTTGGTGGCAGCTTCAGGGGCAGGATGGTGGCCCTGTGACCTAGCCCCAGGGCATCTGGGGGAATGCTCCTGGGTTTGGAGGATGGGCATTCCCAGCATGTGGGCACTGAGCCATTCCTGGGAACCCCATGGCTGAACAATGCAGGCAAGAGCCAGGCTTGGCCCAGCTGAGCCCTAAATCCCCTAGACACAAATCCTCCACCTCCCTGGGGACCTGCCTGGGGGAAGAAGGATTCCCCATGTCCAACCTGAACCTCCCTAGTCTGTGACTCAGGGCTAGGGCTCCTTGTTGCATCGCATGTTGCTGCTGAGAAGGGTTTGGCTCCATCCATTCCCTCCATCCCTGCCTGTGCTGCAATCCAGGGCTGCTCTCAGATTCCCCGCCTCTCCATGGCCAGACCCACAAGACCAGCTCCCTCCCATCTCCACTGGGCAGCCACCGTGGGGGCCTGGCAGGGTCCTCGCGTCCACCTTGCATAGCCCAGGACTCAGCTCCACCTTCACCCCAGGGTCTTCCAGTAAGATTGCCAGGCCAGTGGCTCCTGCCTGTCCCAGTGCCTCAGTTGGCCCTGGTCCTAGAGGAGCTTTCAAGCAAGGAAGAGGACAAAGCCCAACTACCAAGGGATGCGCAGAAAGTGCCATCACCACAAGCGCACCAGGCCAGCAGAAAGGAGGGGACAGCAGATGTCTCAACACCCCCTTGGGCTGCGCTGGCTGGAGATGCTGCTCTGTCGGGACTTCTCCATCAGCTCCAGGATGCTGCTGTAGAGGTGCCTGGGCGCATCCAGGCCCCAGATGAAGTCCCAGTGGTTCCAGTCAGGGATGTGACCATAGGTGACGAGGTGGGTGATGCGGGGCAGCAGCAGGCAGACATCCCTCCAGTCAGCCACATAGTCCTTTCCCCCTGACCACACCGCAGTGGGCACGGGCATCTTCTCCAACTGGTAGGAGGGAGGTGTCTCCTGGAGGAGCATAGGGGGCTCTGAGGAGCTGCCATCATGGTAAACCCTTGCGAGCCAGCCCATCCTGCACCCTCCAGGACAGTGCCCTGGCATCTCCAGCCACCAGCACTGCTGCTGCCACTTCCTACCTGGTGGTACATGGCTAGGTTTTCGGTGCCGTAGTCGAAGGCTTTCAATTCTCCTGATCTTACCACCTGGGAGGAGAGGACAAAACTGTGGTGGGAGGCCAGCGAGTGCCACTGCGTGGGTCTGGCATCTCCCAGCCTCCTTGAGGGACTGCATCACAAGAGAGTGCTCACGTGGGATGTCGCAGGAGGACGTGTCATCCCTGCAAAGCCAGGCTTTCCACCTTTCCTAACAGGGTGGTGCTTTGATCTCCAGCTCCACGCCTGTCTCCAGCTGTAGGTTGACAAGCCAAGGTGCAGCATGCAAGTCCTTGGCTGCCCCTGTGCCTCTGGAAACCTGCCCATCACCAGCTGTGCTGTGTGTGCAGGGTGCTGGTGGAGGGCTTCACGTTGGCAAGTTTTCCTTCAGCCACCTGATCATCCTTACCTGCTCATGACACTTCGAGCCCAGGGTACAGAGACATCAGTGAGCCCAGTTATTGTAAGAGCTGCTTCTCTGCTAGGGGTGAAAGCTCAGATACCTGCACAATAGCTGCATTCATTAAAAAGACCCTTTTCACCCTCCCCATTATGTATAATTTTTCTCTGCAGGGAGGCACCAGAGTGGGGGTCTTCAGCCTGACTCTGCTCCCATAGGGCTGATGCCACAGCTGCAGCAGGGTGCTCAGACTGCCAGAGCCTGGCCACGCTGTCTCCAGGACCCTTTTGGACAGGGGGAGGTGCCATTGGGTCCTCCTTCATGACCTCATTTCTTTGCAAGCCCAGGTCCTCCAGCCCCTCCTCACACGTGCTGGCCTCCACCCACCATCACCATGGTGTCCCTGAGCGTGTTCTGCTTTGGAGATCCCTGGGAGCCCCGAACTGGTCCCAGCATCCAGCTGTGGCCTTCCCATCCCTTCCCTCGTCCTGTCTGGCACAGCCTGGGGCGCACACCACAGTGTACTCTGGTCCCCAGAGGGACCAGGGCAGCTTCATCCTCCATCTGTACACCTAATTTCTTGTCTTTACTTTCCAAAGAGCTGCTGATGTCCAAGATCCCTGACCTCTCATGGCTGCCCTGGACACACCAGACTCCCAGTGACGGGACCATCCCAGGGGTGAAGTGTTTCAGGGAACCCACCTGGGCCCAGTGTATCATGGTTTTGACAGAGGTCCTATCCGGATAGTGGGATGTGTACACATCCAGCCGCGTCTGCAAGTAAACATATTCAAGCTATCATTGCTTTCCAATGGACAGGAGGGAGGATGGCAGCTGCCAGATGGTGCATTTCCCAAAATGGTCATGCTGCCTGGAGAGTTGTGTCGTGTTCAGGAGTATAATTTTCATTAAAAATGAATTCTTCTGAGACAGCTCCAGTAGGAGGATGGTGATGAAGAATTAAGTATCCCCAGCTCCTGGGAATACCTCATCTGGGCTCAGGGACTGTGCTCGAGACCTTAGTGACCACCATCTGGTCATCCAAATGCTGCACCAGCAAACTTTGTATGGAGTGGATACGAGCAGGGGCTGCACACCAGGGGTGCTGGTAGGGGGTACTGATGACCAGTGGCTGGTTTGGGGGACAGGCAGCCAGCGGGTGCTGCTGGGTGCTCCCAAACGATGAACCCCAGAGCTTAGGCTCCCTTACCCCCACTCACCATATTGAAGTTCTTCTCATTGTAGCCGCCCATCAGAAAGAAGAGGTTGGCACAAGGCTTGTGCAGCAGCGGGTGCCTGCACAGCTTGGGGAGGAACCTCCACAGCTTCCTCACCCGCAGCGAAGCGTCCGTTCTGCCGAACAGGAGCTGTGGGAGCAAAGAGCAAGGTTGGTTTCTTGAATTTCCCTGACTGTAGCCCCTGGAGCTGTCCCACCAGCCAAGCAGTGAGGGGAGGTGCAGCACAACACAGGGTGCCCATTGAAATCAAACCCACTCCTCTTGCCTCGCTGTGTGCAGCTCACTGCAGAAGGAAATGTGGATTGAATGCACACCAGGAAAATTTTTTTTTTTTCCCTAAGCACTGGATTTATTTTTCACCGTCATTAAAACCCTCACAGAAAAGCTACTCATTTCTAGGTGATCTGTCTGGGAGTCCAACAGCTGCCCCCATGGAAAGACCAGTTTCAGCACCTGAAGATACTAGAAACAGGAGGATGCTCTCGACATCTGCTCAACAAATGGACCATGCAGTTTGCACCTGCTCCTGAAATCATCCCTGTGCTTATAAATCAGCTGGAATTAACTGTTTTCTGCTGCATCACATATCCCCCGGCTGGACATGGTCCCTTTTCTAGCACTGATGTTCTGGGGGAAGGAGAGCATGGAGTAATCCCCTACCTGGATCATCTTGTCTTGATCATCCAGAAGGAAGGCCATTTTCATGACAGGACCTTTGGCGTACTTGACTGTCACTACTGGAGCCAGGGCAAAAAACATTTTGATTTTCCGAGCCAGTTCTGGCATGGATGAAAATGCAATGAACGCTGAGAAAACAGAAAAACAACCTGAGACTTGATCGGTCTTTCTTCAGGTGCTTAATTCGAGGGTTTGCTTGGACGTGCTGCCCAGACCTGTTTAGCTGGCATTAGCTCCAATTAGAAATCTGGGGTCACTTGCCACCTTTCTGCTTGTCATTAGTGCTAGAGATGTCCGAAAAGAGACAACACTTCTATTTCTATGGTTAGAAGTGGCTGAGGAGACACTTCAATGTCTACCACTGATGGGGACTCCTGCCCCATTCACCAGAGGAAGGGAACAGTACTGTCGCCTTCCATCAGCCACTGCTAAAGGCTGTCATCATCACTTGGGTTATCTCATGCCCCTGATGGCCCAGCTGGTGAAAAGAGAAGCACCATGCATTTCATCACAAAGCAGAAGCTGAGACCTCTGTGCAAAACACCTTTGGTTTTGATGGGGAACACTGCAATTCGGTTTTCTAGGTTGTATTATAGTTCCTCCAGTTGCAGTGAGGAGCTTACTGAGGTCACCAGGAGCTTTCTTTTACTACCCTAGGAGCATGCTGGTCCTCCCAGGTGCCTTGTAGGGGAAGCATGGTTGCTGCAGGACTTCTCACTGTAAGAGATCTTCTACCCAGTGTGCCTGCTCAGCAGCTCACAAAGATGCGACCTCTCCGCTTTTTGCTTAAAAACACCAAAATCAACGTTTTCAAGGTGGTCCAGGCAACGTAGTGTGCAACCCCTTCTTACGCACCGATGGTGCTGCCCTGGGAGTGCCCAGTGTAGTAGATCTGCTGCTGCCCGGTCTTCTGCAGAACAAAGTCAATCATGGCTGGGAGGTCGTACATGGCCATTTCATGAAAGCTGCAACACAGGAGCAGTGCATTGGTTATAAGGTAATGCCAGGAGAGCAAACTTTCCTGTGAAAAGTGGCTGCTTTGCATTGCTCGTATACTTAACATCCGTGGCTGATTTTCTGGGAGAAAATACCCCTGTGCTGGGTGAAACTGCACTAGGTCCAAGGGCAACCCTCTTACTTTACAGTAGGGGAAACACAAACCGACATTATGAGCTTTTTTTTTTTTTTGCTGGAAGCGTGTTTATGAGCTTGGGAAATCCAGGAAGATCAGCTCTGGAGGGACAGTAACAACCTAAAATGCCATTCCTGGGGATGAGGTTTCTGTGGACAACGTCTAGAAGGGGAGGTGGCAATGACATTTGTGGACACCTTGCTGAGGGGCTTGGCTGGGGGGCTTGGCCAAGGAGGTGTCCGCAGAAGCCCCAAGGCCAGGCTGGTGTCTCGGTGGGACAGACGTCCCCACACAGGCAGTTGTGCCCCATGCTCTTGGCAGGGAGGTGTTGGCACTGTGTAGGCAGGCAGGTCTGCACAGGCACCCCCATCCTGCCCAGGAACCTTCCTGTAAGGTCTGTAGGAGACCATGCCTGGGGATGAGGCGCTCTGACTTACCTACTTGGTGGCACCCACCTCTGCCCAGAGGTTAGTGACAGGCAGAGAAGTTTGCCCTGGTTTTGTAATCTACTCCAGCCCACCTGAAATCCCAGAATTCATCCTGGTCAGCTGAAAGGTGCTGGTGTCGCTGGGACCAGCTTGTCCCACGGCTGTTCCCCAGCCAGACATCGTAGCCAGAGTCTGCCAGTATGAAGCCAAGGCTGTTGTTAGCCAGATTTTCCACCCAGTTGCTGCCTTCTCCAAGGAACCCATGCTGGAGAAACACGACTGGCTTGTTCTCTAGATGTGAAAGAAACAGCCCGTTTAATTGAACCAGAACTTCTCCATTTACTCACTGCAAATTCAGGCCAATAAAGCCTCTTTCTTGCACCACCACAGGACATACAATATACATTTTAATGACACCTCCTGGTGAAGAAAAGCTTGCTGTAGTTATCTGGTGGTTTCCCTGGTTGTCCAGACTGGAGAGCTGTTGATGTCCCTCCTAAGTCTTTCAGACCCCAGGCGCTCACCCCCACAGGCTCAGCACTGTGGCCACAAACAGCAACCATGTGAAAGCTCAGATGTGCAGGTTTGTCCCTGAGACTGTTCAAATCCCCAGATCACACATTTATGGGGAAAAAAATTAAATGAGGAGCTCTCTCAAGATATGCCTGCATTCTCAGAACCTTAAAACTAAGTCTTTGCTTGATAGGAAAGGTGGTTGCTGTGCTGGATGCATGTTTTCTTATGCTGCTGCTAAAGCACTGACTGTAAATTTGAGAAGTACCGTGTATTTGGTACTTCTGCTTTAAAAAGAAATACTCCCCTGGCTTGGTAAGGTTCATCTCTTCACCTGCTTGCTATGTTAATGTTTCGGGGTTTTTTTTTCTGGCTTCGGTGTGAAATAGAGCTGTACCTTTGTTCCTGGGATTTTCTCTCCCGTGAGGAATTCTGTTCAGTCTGACATAGTAACCATCTTTAGTCAGGACTTCATACTCCTCGCTGGGGTACCCTCTGTGGCAGATCATCTGGCTCTGGGGAAGGAAAAACCCTGATTGAAAGCTTTCCATAGCTGAGATGCTCATTTGACCCAAAAAGTGCATCCCTCATCAGCTGGGATGCCTTTGCAAAACTGAAATGCTGTGGCAGCTGGGACATGGTTTTACTCGGTGTCTCTGCATCAGCCAAGGACTTTTTTGAGAGAGAGACGATGCTCACACAATCCCACATCTGCTCCCATGAGATGCTCAAGCTAAGAGGAGATGCTCAGGCATGGGTGCCTGTGAGCAGGTAGGGAGGTGGGTGGCAGCATGCAGCAGTGTGCACCTCTGAATCGCTTCCAAAAATGAAGGCTGGAACCGAAAGGATTTACTGACAGCCGACGCCGGTGGCAGGACGTGTCCTGTCATGCTCCGAGCCAATGTACAGGGCAGATAAAGTGGTGTGGTGTTTTGAACCTGTCGAGCTGGGCTGACTGGAAGGGCAATAGGACAAACCCCATAGGATATTTCCCAGGGCTCCTGAGGCTCTGCCTGAGCTTCATTTATGCCAAAAACTCCACAAATTGGGAAGTTTCAGTCTGGTGGAACTCAGCTGTGATCCTGCCTACACATCGCTGTATGCTCGCCTTGTTACACGTTTGATGGAAGAGATTAATTTAAGCAATTATAGTGCCCAAGTCTTGGGTCCATCTAAACCCACCCTCAGTGACTTTCAGGACAGGGCCCCGAGAAACCTGCTGCAGCAGCAGGAGAGGAGCCATGCCCAAATTTCTAACCCTTGGGAAGATGTCTGATCTAACCCAGGCTGCTCTTACTGCCTGCTCTAACTGACCTGCTGATAATTGCACTTGCTACTGCTGGGAGGAGGACTCCTTCAGGTTGCAGGGCTTGTTAATGATGGTATGGAGACAACGTCATCTCACACTGCCCAACAAACCCAACACACGTGATGACTTAAGCCCACTCCACATTCATACCCTCCGTCCCTCTCTCCCCTAGATAAACAACCGCAAACTTTCAGATGCAGTGGAAATTCAAACTTCTGACTTACGACATTCATGAAAGTCTCAGGATTTACAGCTTTTTTCTTCTCGATGGCATCTGCTGAGTTCACGGATGCTTGTATCAAAGCCAGGATTACAATAAACAGCCACATCTTGTGTCTGTGTAAAAGAATATTGTCGGTTTTGTTGTCGTCGTTATCATTATCATTTAAAAATAACGTTGTTATGGATGTCTCTTTCTGCTTAGTTATGATGGGTTAAGTTCTTTACATGTCTGAAGATCATATATCACAGTTTGGGCTGGGGAAGCGGAGGGGATTACTGATTCCAGCTTCCATTAGAGTCCATGCAAGGCTCTTCACACTCCTCTGTACAGACTGGACCTGCTACTAGACAAGACCCATTTTGTATTTTTAATGGTAAAAAGAAGAGAAACAACTTTATAATGCAAGATTTAAAGCAATACAAAATGTCGTCAGGCCATTGTCATATACAGTAAACTAAACTGAAGTAAGAATTTACGCTAGGCAAGGAGCACATTTAGGTTGGTTGGGCTATGACTATGCCTGTACTGTTGCTGTTTCTTTATCACTTAGCTTTTGCACCCAGAGGCCACTACTAACACATTCATCCTATGAACTGAAACTAGTAAAGCCTCATAGGAAGACTGTCTATTAAATAAGTGTAGCCTGAAAAAAATAGAAACCTTTCTGATAGCCTTAGAGACTTCTGTCCCAAGCAGAGATCTATTCTTAAAGTACACAGTTATAATAGATCATATAATATATGATTTCTAATGCTTCACCAGACCATAAAAGTTAGAGCTTAATTTCAACCCAGTAGCATGATTTGCAAATCTTCTCACCAGCCATCTGGTTGCTCTCTACCTTCCTTCTTCCTCCTCCCACAACCCTCCCAATGAGTTTCCCACACCATGAGACATATCTGCCCTTGGAAAGATTCCCAGTAACCCTCTCTATGGTAGTACTTAGAAAAAAAGCAACCGATGCTTTATCACCCTCAGGATAGCTCCAGTGCAAATCTGACTTATGCAGAGGAAAATACGTTACCAGGCAGAACCCACTGTCGTGTCTGATCAGGCTGGTGGTGCGAATGGTAGTCGCTCTATCAACACCAGAGTTAAAAAGAGCACGCTGTGTCAGAGTCCTGCTACGTTGACACCACGTTAGACCGCATCATGTGTCCTTCGATTAAGTGATGTGCACGCTGCTCATATCTTTGATAACTTCCTCTGCTTGGCCATGTGCTCATTACTTTCGTGCTTGCAAAGGATTACGTTTCCAAAAGCAACCCGTGTGGTGCAGCGAGGAATTTCAGCTATGGAGTTGCATCTTGCGATAGCCACAGTAAAAAATATCAGTTTTTCTTTGTAAAGGGTCTTTTCCACAGGCCCTTGGGAATGTCTCTTAGAAGAGGTCCTGGGGCAACGAAAGGACTTGAGTTCCACCAAGGTCTCAGGAGTATGCTGAGCTCTTCATAGACACACCAAGGACAGCTCAGGCTTCACCATCTGCCTGGGTGGGAGGCACTTGGTGATTACACTGCTCTTCAAAAGTGACAGTGGCCTTGGCAACCTACACATAGCCCTTACACCCAAACAACGTTGTATTTGCAGCTGGCAATTTGCAAAACCTCTGCAACTCTTTCTGGAAAAGCACCAAGCCTGGCGTCTTGCTGATGGACGACGGAGTGGAGGAGACCTTGTTACAACGCCTCCACTTGGCTGAAGCAACAGGTATTGCACAGAGTAAAGGTGTTCATTCTCTACTTCCAGCCCGTGACCTGACAACCTGTGCCTTTCTGTAGCTGCTTGGTAGCCACCTAGAAGACCAAGCCTTCAATTGGCTATCAGGTGCTCTGCTTGGGTATAGGTTTTCTGGTCATAGATTAGGTTGACTTCTAACGTTCATACCAGCCATAGTCTATGAGTGGTATGCGAATTGTGAAACATGGTTCAAAACACACATGTGTTACTCCATCCACCAGACTGTAATTTTCTATCAGTGCTGCAACTGCTGACACAAAGAGACTTCGGTGTGTGGGTGCTAACAGCAGGTGTTTGGGGACACAAACAGCGGGGATTGGACTGGATGATCTTTTGAGGTCCCTTCCAATCCCTAACGTTCTGTGATTCTGTGTGATTCTGTGTGCGACCAGACCATTCACTGTTGCATTATTTTACTTCTGTCCCTTTGTCTACTTTGGGCTTTTGAAAATGTCTTCCCGCTCCTGTGAGTGCAAAAACCCCACTGCATAAGATGGACTTTATAGGTTGTGGAGAGCGCAATTTCAGTGTGCATCCTAAGAGGAGTTAAAAAACACCCTATGGATGGAGAAACCTCTGCTCAGCTTGTGTTTTTCTACTCTACCATCAGGTTTCCTTCAACAGCATCAAGACAGACCTCACCTTTTACTTGTATGGTTGGCTACTTCATCAGCAGTCAGGTTTGCTACCTTCCACCTCCACTGGGTACTAGTTATCTAGTGCAGGTACTAAGTACTAGTACTAGGTACTAAGAGAGGTTGGAAAGTCAGCAGAGACTCCTCCAGCATCCTCAGGCCGTGGGACAAGGCTACAGGAGCAGTGTCTCAGCCCTGAGGCTAGTGTACGATTTAGCACCAGTACTTACTATAAGTGTGGTAGGAAGGAGAGAAGTTGCCAACAAAGGGCAGCTAGCTTTTTACCGAGAAACTCTTGTGTACCTTAGTCTAAGGAAGAAATGAAGACCTTTGAGTTATTTGAAGTTATGAGGCCGGAGTTGGACGTTTTGATGCAGAGGTGCAAGTTTAGGTGGAAAGAGCAACACCATCGCAATACTGCTGTGGTTGTACACTGAACAGAATTGTAAATAGTCACTAGCATTAACCTGCTGTGTTGGGACCCCATAATACATTGTAGGGTGCACAACCAAACATGAGATAGGCTATCACGGGCATCTTAAAACTAAGCCGTATAACCTCACTCATGGGATGTTTTTACAGGATTGTTGTGGAAACTAATGTAGGAAGACTCAAGACCACTTAGAAACAGAAGGGTATTTTATTTCACTTTCTAACCAAGTAGACTGTACCGATCTGCACTCTCATACATGTGTTCTCAGAGGGATCAAAATGTGTGTGTCCAAGTTGTCTGGCCAAGGTCACCTGAATGTGACAAGGGAGGCAAGAGTTGCCAGCTACTGCATCCTCCGTATGCCTTCTGGGTTCTGCTTGAGGCCAAGCACTGTCCTCTAAGGTCCTTTAGGAGTAAAAATTTACTGTGCTGTGATGTTTTGCTTCTGCATCTTGTCAACTTCATGCTTCATAAATATCAGTCAACATTGCTGCTGGGTGTCTTTAATTTTCTTGTTTGAGGTATCATAAGACTGTAACCCACGCTACTGTTGGGATAACAGGAAGAGAAGCAGCACATGAAATGTGCTTTATCCCCACTGCTGATCCTCTATTAACCGGTGCAGGTCTTCTGCTGATGAGTCACCTTCCGTGTGGCACATCATGGTGCACGCAACATGTTCCTCCATGAACAGCAGTTTGGTTGGTGTTAATCATGTCTTTGGCTATCAATGCATGCCATTCCTCCAGCTCCTGCTCTTGTGTTTCTCCAGGTGCTTTCAGGCATGTACAAGCTGCCAGACTGTATGACCAGGATGCTGGTTGTTACCTTCTGTCTGTTGCCTATTGCCAAGCACAAGGGTAAGCCAGTAACAAGAAGGGAGATGCTTAACTTGGCATCCTGAACTGGGGAGGAAAGTGTCATTCTGATTTTAGCAATAAGACAATATCAACTCTTGTGTAATCACTGCCAGATGAGCATGATTTCCTTGCAGTAACCTTGGGGAACCTTGCTCAAGTAAAGACCCTGATAAAGGGAGCAGTGCTTATCTGGTTGTACGCCTCCTAGTTTAAAGACCCTCAGCTAGGCTGGGATATCTCCAGCAACTCTTATTACACACTTAGTAGGGGTCTTACTCATGCTAGGGTTGCATGGTGAAGCTCGATGAAACAAGGAATTCTTCTCAAAACACCTTGCTATAATTGTTCACACAATAATTTTATTCATAGTAGTGAAAATGAATCAGCAAAAGCATAAAGGTTCCTAAATATTCATTGTGAAATAACTGAGATGCTGTCACCAGTGGTTTGTCTCGGCTAATTCTTCTCCCATTTCTTTGTTCAGAAGACCCCAGAAAACCCTTGAACTTCTTTATGTCTCATCTCTCTTCATTGTACAACTGCCTTTAAAGAGTGTTTTAAAGCTAAAAGGATTTGGTCTGTTCATGAACAAACCTGGGCCAACTTCAGCAAACACAAGTCTCAAAGACCAGTTTCTGAGTCTCTCTTCCAAGCATTCATCTAGCAGTCTCAAAAGAAAATTTGGAAATAACATAGGAGATAACACAGAAATTGTTCATAGTTCCTGAAATAAGAAAGCAACATGTCCTCAACTGAATAAAACTCTGCATCTACTCAGCAATGCTGGTGACTGCTGGGAACTGTTGTCAGGCTTTCTATTAAGGATCAAAAAAACATGAAAAGGCAGTACACCATCTGATGCAACTCGATGAAACCTTATCCTCAACTAACCCTGGTACAAATCAGTTTCTAAATAACCGAGTAGGTAAGTATGTTGCTTAAAGCAGACATCAAAGCAATCTTAGAGTTAATTACGAAAGCACAACTTCACTCTAAGCACGTGCCTGTGCATAATCCTTAAGCAGGCAGACACTGTAGTTGATGTGCTCACCACCTCTCCAGTGTGGGCACAGTCTGGAGCTGACCATGTGCTCCACAGTTCATGCCTGTGCTGCCTTTTTTTAGCATTTACCAAGATGACGATGGAAAATTGTAGGTAAGCAAACATGGTGCAACTACTGTATTTTGAACAGGCATCATGGTTTTAAGCCCTTCTGGCATTGTGTGCTGTGTGCAAGCAGACCAAGAGTGGGTTTGCATGTGCACATCTGGAAGAAATTTAAGTAAGTGGCTGAATGACCAACACTCTTCACACGTGTAGGCATATGTCTGAGGTTGGTTTGCTCATACATGGAGAATAAAAAGGGAGCATTGCTGTGCCATGCATACATTCATGGGGTGGTGGAGGCCTCATGCTGTGTTGTGAAGTCTAAGGGTG